CAAGACGTTTCCGTCTTGCGAAGCAAGCCCATAGGGAAAATCGTCTTGCGAAGCAGCTCAAAAAACAAAAAACCCTTTCGTCTAGCGAGTTTTTTGTCTTGCGAGGCATTCGTCTTGCGAGGTACCACTGTACAAAAAAATGTTTAGCACAAACTGAAGCAGTCCAAAGAGGACTGAATATCCTCAATGGTCACAGAATGCTAACTAACATATTGGGGGACGAGAAAACCAGAGGGGAGAGAGAATGAAACATAATGGATGACATGCATGGAAGTACACTCCACATTGCAGTAATTTGTTTCAGGTTCCATTCATTTACTTTAAGGGCAGCCAAAAGGATGTCTATTTCAGTGTTCTCGTATTTCTGATCTTTGCCCATAAATAGCTCCTGCCCGCCCTGTTTTTTGTTTTTTTGCTTCCCCCATCCCTTTGTGTAAACCCCAGCACAGGATATCAGAGAAAAGGCACTGAATCTGGAACTGTGTTTTCAACAATGACACGATGGGATGGCAGTTGTCCTTTCCTCTTATGCAGCCATTACCTGCAGCCAACCTAAAGTACATTCTCAAGGCCATTAGTCTCCCCAAATGAATGTTGATGTTATGATGAAGCTGAGGGGAACACACAGCATCTCTTTCGTGATTTGTGTTGCGGAGAGATTGTGTTTTCAAATAGAATCAACTCATTCTTATGATGCAGGGAGAGTTTACTGATAGTTCTCCAACGCCACTGGCCTGCAGACAGTGATCTCAGATTACATTTCCATTTCTGGAATCTATGCCACCTAACAAGCTTGTTCTTCCAGGAATCTACTGTGTTTCTAAAATCCAAAGACATGGTTTTTAGCTGTATAAAAGAGCTGATACTTCTTTTTTAATGGCATGTTTATGCTTGAGTTTAGTTTCAGGTAGCAATTGTTGGTTGTCATTATTGCGGTGGTGCCTGGGTGTTTTGTGTACAAACGCAAAGCAAAGTTTGTCTCTGGCTCAGTGAAAATATGTTGATAAAATGGGCATTCCAGCTAAAGCACAAAAGAACTTTCCTCTTAACACTGAAAATTCTCTAGAAGTGCATATCCTGTGGGAAATACATCTTCTAGCTTATTGTCTTATTAAGTCCAGTATGTGACCAAACTAACAAGGATGTGTAAACTACACTTTGCTGTGCTTTACATCTTTGCAGTTGTAGTGTGTAATCAGCTTATACAGAACCACCACTTACATATCATTCTGTATAATAGGGATGTCAATAGCTTTATCTGTACTCTTCAACAGAACTGGAAGTAAAGGCTGTACCAATATTATAATGGCTGAACTGTTCTTTTTTTCTCAGAGTGTTGGAATCAGTATGGTGTAGTGGTTATAGAATACCAGGCTTGGAATACCATTCGTGAAGCTTACTGGGTGAACTTGGGCCAATCACTATTGGGGATGGGTGGATCAGTCTATTTCTGGACCAATGTCCCTTTCACATATGTTCCATTCCTAAGTCCATCTGGTATCATTTTCATATACATCTGTGTTTCTCTCCCCCCACCCCACCCCAAAAAATCTGCATAGAACTTTGCATTAAAATATACATTTAAATACTATTTCTGAACATATTTTCTCACAAAATGTGAATTTCTAAATGTAACTTATCTAAATAAAAATGCGTTTGTAAGCACATTGATTTTCTTTGACCCAATAATATCACAAAATTTGGAGAAGTGAACAATAATAACAATAAAGTGAACAACAATAATGTTCCACATAAGTCCAGGAGGTGAATCAGGTCAGTTCATTTCAGAATTTGCAAAGAGCAGTTTCTTCAAGCTTTGTTAGTCACTAACCCTAAGCCTAGCCTGCCCCATAGGACTGTTTTGAGGATGAAATGAGGGAAGAGCCATATATGGAAGAACCATGGGAAAGACGTGTATACATAAATAAACATTCCTTGGTGATCTGCTATCAACTTGATTTGGCAATATTTGAATCACTTTTCAAAATCATCCAGTGGTAGTGTGTGTAGTAGATTCTTACTGTACATTGGAACTGGTTTTCCATTTAAGCTTTTCCTGAAGGATTCTGATATCATCACCCTAAGTTTCTACTGAAAATTTCGCACAGGCTTGTTTGACAAAATCTGTCTGGTTATCAAAGCTTGACCCCAGCTCTGTGGCAGAGCTGTCACTTTGTCACACTACATAACGTTTCCCTGAATGTCAGTCATATCATTTCAAATCTCATCCCCAGGAGCACCAACTAAGTGTCAGATTCAGACCAAGGAAACGTCATATAAGAATCCACTGCCTTATTTGTCAGAGCTGATTTAAAAAATAAATAAATGAAACGATCAGACAAAGCAAAGTTTGAATTTCACGAAAGTGCCACATGTAAATTGGACATCCTGCCATATTTGCAAATTGTGCAAATTATTATTATTAGGCATTGATTTAAAAGATGGCTGATTTATGGCTTTAGACTTTGGAAATCATGACAGTCAGATTTATAACTGCATCATCTAGATTTTCAGAACTACAAATGATTTTTCAGTTATACATGGACTTGCTTCAAATTTGTAGAAAGCTTGGTTTCTTACTTCTAAAGAGGATTGGCACTTGAATTAGCTGAAAGCAAACTTCTGAAATTATTCAGATTTAACTGTCAAAGACGAATGTTCAAATATTTACAGGTGTGGAAAAGCTCTATTAACTTTAGCAAATGAGATTATTGTCATTAAGCTTTGGCTGAACAGTTGATGAATAGGTAAAGGTAAAGGTACCCCTGCCCATACGGGCCAGTCTTGCCAGACTCTAGGGTTGTGCGCTCATCTCACTCTATAGGCCAGGAGCCAGCGCTGTCCACAGACACTTCCGGGTCACGTGGCAAGCGTGACATCGCTGCTCTGGCAAGCCAGCGCAGCACACGGAACACCGTTTACCTTCCCGCTAGTAAGCGGTCCCTTATTTATCTACTTACACCCGAAGGTGCTTTCGAACTGCTAGGTTGGCAGGCGCTGGGACCGAACGACAGGAGCGCACCCTGCCGCAGGGATTCGAACCGCCGACCTTTCGATAGGCAAGTCCTAGGTGCTGAGGCTTTAACCCACAGCGCCACCTGCGTCCCAGTTGATGAATACTCTCTGACAAATAATCACCCAAATGTAAGGTTTTTAGCTATTCTTTTTTCCCTGAGTCAACTTCGGACTTGAGTCCTACAGACAACTCCATTAGCTAGACGATCTTACTCATTGAAATAAAACTGGTTTAATGACTGACTACAATCCAGAAATCAGTGCATATTTTGCCTCTGGCTTTAATAGGGTGTGGTTGCACACCATGGAACTTCAGCTATCAAATCAAGCAAGGTAACCTTAGACAGAACATAGAGCTCTTGGATCACAGACCTGGCAGTCTTGTCTTGCACAAAGCTCAGAAGCTGAGCTTTGAAAGTTCATTTCAAAAAGTAACCAGGTCTGATTAAAATTCAATATTTCCAAAAAGGAACTAATTCCAGTTCACATTTATCCCTTTACAAAAACAAACTGGTTTGATTCATGTTCAGTTCACAGTTCAATTCAAGTTCAACAACAACAAAAATCAACATTCAGAATGTTACAAGCTGCTGTGCTGATGTATAGAATATGCTTAAGAAGACCAAGAAAAGATAAACACGCGCACAGAGTGGAATGGGAACTATTTGATTCATTTCCCCAGCAATTATGATATTTCCAATTAAAGGCCTAAAGAGGTTAAAGAGTAAAATCTTGAGATGAACTAGTTATTCAGAATTCTACCCCAAAATGAAACTGGCAATTGCCTGGCAATTATGGGAAATACTTTCAAGTTTTGTTCAGATACTTTTGAACTAATTCAGTGAATTTAACCAAACTAGTTCATGCCAAGCACTGTTCAGAAGTTTGTCCTTCGTTAAGAACCTATGAAGACTTGTGCTAGATCAGACCATAGGCCTTTCTAATCAAGCATTTGACTTCCTGCAGCCACTAACCAAGTGCCTATGAGACTCTTACAAGCAGGGAATAATAATAATAATAATAATAATAATAATAATAAATTTTATTTTTACCCCGCCCTCCCCGGCCAGAGCCGGGCTCAGGGCAGCTAACACCAATAAAATCACAGTAAAAACATAATAGGGAGGAAGAGAGGGGGGAACCAGTTTAAAATACAGGTTAAAATGCAATTTAAAATGAAGCCTTATTTTAAGGTAGCCGATAAATCAAGACCCTAAAGAGAGGGAAACATAAGGGTCAAACTGAGTCCAAACCAAAGGCCAGGCAGAACAGCTCTGTCTTGCAGGCCCTGCGGAAAGATGTCAAGTCCCGCAGGGCCCTAGTCTCTTGTGACAGAGTGTTCCACCAAGTTGGGGCCAGTACTGAAAAGGCCCTGGCCCTAGTTGAGACCAATCTAACCACCTTGCGACCTGGGACCTCCAAAATGTTGTCATTTGTGGACCTTAAGGTCCTCTGTGGGGCATACCAAGAGAGGTGGTCCCATAGGTACGTGGGTCCTAGGCATGAGTTGAACTGCACTGTCTCCACCTGAGACTCTCAGCAACTGCCATTCAGAGGCATGCTGCCTGAACTGTGAAAGTGGAACATAGCCTTTAATAGACTTGTTGTTGTTGTCACTTGTGTTTATATCCCACCCTTTGAGGAGCTCCCTTTCCCATTTCATCCTCACAACAGCCCTGCGAGGTAGGTTAGACTAAGAGATTGTGGCTGGCCCAAGGTCAGCCAGTGAGCTTCATGACTGAGTGGAGATTTGCGCCCTGTTTTCCAAGGTCCTAGTCTAGCACTAAAAATGCAATTCTAAGAACGCTTGTTAGGAAATAAATTCCCTGGAGTCTAGCAAGACTTGCTTTTCAGTGCACACGTTTAAGATTCTGCTGAATGCCTTATTTCTAACTCATTGATGGCTTCATTTTGCATTTGACATTTTGTGTCAAGTAAGAAACTAACATTGCCTTTTTTTATTCTGCTGTGTTTACCTCCTTCAGATGTTCTTGGAGCTGGTCCAGAAGACAGGAATGAACCGAAGCCAACTGTGAGAAAGGTGGACACCACAACCACAGCTTCTGTAAAATCATCTCCTAAACATAAAGTGGACAGCAATATGGGAAACAGAGCTTCAAGTTCCTTGCTCTTTATTATTATAGCCCTTGCAGTTTTGTGGCACTCTTTGTTGTAGCTGCATTATGCGGCGGTAACTGGGCAGTTTCTGCTCACTGTCATTTATACCTACAGCCTTATCCAAGTAAAAACCAAGTTTAATGGCTCTCTCAATGGTGCACTCTAGCATTATGTGGTATGTTAGTGTAAGTACTAAACATTAGTCTGGGACTTGTTAACAGCAAGCGTCTCCGTAGCTGTCGCTATCTGGAGATGGCTCTTGATAACATCTCATCTACTCAAGATGTAAAAAAAATAAAAATAAAAGGATGAAGACAGGAAACCTGAGTAGATTAAGTTATTGTGGCAGACACAATTAAGAATGTTAAAGTTGTAAATTAATATGTTGGCACCCCCTCCTTTTTTTCTTTACTCATTGAGTAATGGACAGGCTGCCTATTTGTTTGATCTTTCTTGTGAGTTCCACTGCATAACTGGTTTTCAGGTACAGGTCATAACACAGTATATCTTTTGGGATCAGCCACTATATATTATAAGCAAAATACAGTGCTATCTACCAGTTGGATGAAATTCTGAGGTGGTCAGGAAAATCATAGCATGTTCAAATCTCTTATTTTCTTTCGTAATGTTTAGGATGTAGAAAGCAATATAAGAACCATATGTTGTGTTTAATGTATCAGTATAGCTGCCTTATCTGTTAGCAACACGTAGAAACACTTCTCAAGTTATTTTGAAACATATAGAAGTGTTTCACTGCCCATGCACTTCATTACCATATGCTTAAGACTTGACTGTGTTGTGAATATCTGACAAACGTGAAAAGGAGAGGAGCAGCACTCGATTGCTGAGACGTAAACAGTCACTTATTTAAATTCCTCTACAGTTCCTGTATGGTGTAGCCATAGAGATAACAAAAGCCCTAGTCCACAGATCCTCACATGGTGCTACATAGCTATCAGAAGAGAGGTGGGAAACCTGTGGCCCTACAGATGCTATGGCTCTACAGCTCTCATCAGCCCCAACCATCATGGCCGAAGGTCAGGAATGATGGGAGCTGTAGCCCAGCAACATCTAGTGTGTGACGGGTTCCCCTCCCCTTTGTTAGAGGGAGCAGGAAGGGAATCAATCCCTAAATGCCCATCGCAAACAGATGGTCAGCATTGCTAAAGATGGCAGAGCCAACCACTGCCAGTTTTGTTGGTTTGTGCATGAGCTCAGTCCCTCTTCTCTGGGTAACCACATCGTCTTACTCGTGTGGGGCATGATCCAGCAGAGGACTGGTGCATGAGTCGCTCTTGCCGAACTGGAGCAAATGTTTCCATCTAGCTACCAAAAGTTATTGCCTTTTATCTCAAAAGAGATATTGATGCTCTACAGAGCTATGAAGAACAGTGTGTCCCATAGTTTTCCGTTTAATTACAATTAATGTTTTATTGTGCTATGATAGAAAATAATAAATATGAAAGAAACATCAACCTAGAATAATAAATACATTATTTTCTGCTTGTTCTCTAATACATGTTTTCTTTTTTCTTTTTGTTATTGTAATGAGGGCTTTTCAGTTACAAAATGAAACTGATGTGTTTGACAGCTTGACAAGATGTTACAATACCACCATTAGATGGGAGAGGGCAAATACATGTATTTTTGACAACTCTTTTTACAGTGCCATTGAAAATCTATACAATACAATCTGAGTCGAATTAACAATTGTAACAGTCATTTTTGCCTCTGATTTATATTTACTAAAGAAAGCCAGTCGTTCGCATAACTGAATAGTAGTTTTCATAACACAGAATATTACAATGTACAGTTTTATAAGATATAATGTAAAATATTGCCTTTGATTTGTGTGTGATATATGTGTGTAAAAACATTTACTTCAGCAGTTTGATTTGCTTATGGTCAGTCTAGTGCACCAATTCTTGAAAACATATGTGTTTAGGGTCAAAGGGTAAGACATAGCTAGATAACTGTTCCTTGCAGGCCCTGCAGGCTTGATATCCTCACAGAATTGTTTTCCTTCGGGGGCTTCCCCATTCACTTCAGTGGCACATTCTTTGCACATATTTCTCATGTGCATAACAGTCCATATATGCAGAGGATACAAAGGCCTTTGCATCATGGAATGGTGCTTTTAAATGCATATTGATCCCTTATCTTCATGTAAGGCCATGTCCCAACCAAAGCAAGCACTCTTTGTCCCATTCATGTCAATGGAAGAGTTAAGCATGTACTTAATAAAAAAGTAGTATAATAATATTATTATTTATATGCCGCCCATCTGACTGGATTGCTTCAGCCACTCCGGGCAACTTAAGTCTCTTTCATTAATAATATTCAGCACATGGACGGGCTGAGAACAAGAGTTGTTGTTATAGTTTCCTAGTTCATACTACGGAATTCTAATCAGTAATTCACACAACAACAAAATATTATATGAGACACACCTGTGCTCACAATTAAGCTTTTGCATTTAAGTACCACGTGCGAGAAAAGGAACCATGTAAGAGCAAATATCAACACTCTCCTCTATGAGACTTGTATCAGATTTTGGACAGAAATACTTCATTTCCAGACTTTAAAAAGAATAAACTGTATTTGAATTATTTGTTATTGTTATGTCCAAAAGTTTACAGTTGTTTCAAATTCACACAAGAAAACTGGCATTATGCAAGGAATATATTCGCATGTAAACACCATTCTTTGGAGACTGAAACAAGCACAGTAATTTCCCCCAAGATATTAAGATGGTTCATGTGGAAATAGAATTCATACACTGGAGGACTGAAGCAAATATTCTTCTGTAGTTTTAACTGAGCATTGGCCTTCAATGACCACAACATAAAGCTCTACCACAAACTGATGCTGCCTGTTTCCTTTTACATACAAAACAAAGTTCGATCAGGTATATGAAGACGAAATTATATGGTCAAAATTAAGGGAGAGAAGAATAACAGTGACCTCATTGTGGGAGTTTACTATAGATCCCCAAGCCAAACGGAGGACATAGATGATGCCTTCCTGGAACAGATGGCCAAGCATGCAAAAGGAAGGGAGATAGTAGTAATGGGGGACTTCAATTACCCGGATATTTGTTGGATGTCAAACTCAGCCAAGAGCATAAGGTCAAACAGATTCCTCACTGGCCTTGCAGACAACTTCATTGTCCAGAAAGTGGGAGAAGCAACAAGAGGAACAGCCATTTTAGATCTGGTCCTAACCAATGTTGATGACCTGGTTAGTGGGGTAGAAGTGGAAGGATCATTAGGCACGAGTGATCATGCTCTTCTGAAGTTTACTATACAGCGGAAAGGAGCAGCCAAGCATACTAGGACTCAATTTCTTGACTTTAAGAAAGCCGACTTCATAAAACTTAGGGAAGTGCTGGGTGAAATCCCATGGACAGTAATACTAAAAGGAAAGGGAGTTCATGATGGCTGGGAGTTTGTTAAGAGGGAGATAGTAAAAGCACAACGTCAGGCAATACCAATGAGACGGAAACATGGAAGGTGCCTAAAGAAGCCAGGGTGGCTATCTAAAGAACTTTTAACTGAGTTAAGATTAAAAAAGGATGTGTACAAAAAATGGAAAAGGGGGGAAACCACCAAAGAGGAATTCAAACAAATAGCCAGCACATGTAGACACAAAGTCAGGAAAGCTAAAGCACAGAATGAACTCAGGCTTGCTAGAGAGGTTAAAAGCAACAAAAAAGGCTTTTATGGGTATGTCCGTAGCAAAAGGAAGAACAAAGAAACAGTGGGGTCACTCAGAGGAGAAGATGGTGAAATGCAAACAGGGGGCACAGAAAGGGCTGAACTCCTCAATGCCTTCTTTGCCTCAGTCTTCTCCGATAAAGAAAACAATGCCCAACCTGAAGAATTTGGAGCAAATGATTCAGCAAAGGAAACACAGCCCAGAATAACTAAGGAGATAGTACAAGAATACTTGGCTAGTTTAGATGTATTCAAGTCTCCAGGGCCAGATGAACTGCATCCAAGAGTATTAAAAGAACTGGCAGATGTGATCTCAGAACCACTGGCAGTCATCTTTGAGAATTCCTGGAGAACAGGCGAAGTCCCGGCAGATTGGAGGAGGGCAAATGTTTGTCCCTATTTTCAAAAAGGGGAAAAGAAGAGGACCCAAATAATTACCGCCCAGTCAGTCTGACATCAATACCAGGGAAGATTCTGGAGCAGATCATTAAGCAAACAGTCTGTGAGCACCTAGAAAGGAATGCTGTGATCACCAATAGTCAGCATGGATTTCTGAAAAATAAGTCATGTCAGACTAACCTGATCTCGTTTTTTTGACAGAATTACAAGCCTGGTAGATGAAGGGAACGCAGTGGATGTAGCCTACCTTGATTTCAGCAAGGCATTTGACAAGGTGCCCCATGATATTCTTGTAAAGAAGCTGGTAAAATGCGGTCTTGACTATGCTACCACTCAGTGGATTTGTAACTGGCTGACTGACAGAACCCAAAGGGTGCTCATCAATGGTTCCTCTTCATCCTGGAGAAGAGTGACTAGTGGGGTGCCACAGGGTTCTGTCTTGGGCCCGGTCTTATTCAACATCTTTATCAACGACTTGGATGATGGACTCAAGGGCATCCTGATCAAATTTGCAGATGACACCAAACTGGGAGGGGTGGCTAACACCCCAGAGGACAGGATCACACTTCAAAACGACCTTGACAGTTTAGAGAACTGGGCAAAAACAAACAAGATGAATTTTAACAGGGAGAAATGTAAAGTATTGCACTTGGGCAAAAAAAAATGAGAGGCACAAATACAAAATGGGGGACACCTGGCTTGAGAGCAGTACATGTGAAAAGGATCTAGGAGTCTTGGTTGACCACAAACTTGACATGAGCCAACAGTGTGACGCGGCAGCTAAAAAAGCCAATGCAATTCTGGGCTGCATCAATAGGAGTATAGCATCTAGATCAAGGGAAGTAATAGTGCCACTGTATTCTGCTCTGGTCAGACCTCACCTGGAGTACTGTGTCCAGTTCTGGGCACCACAATTCAAGAAGGACACTGACAAACTGGAACGTGTCCAGAGGAGGGCAACCAAAATGATCAAAGGCCTGGAAACGATGCCTTATGAGGAACGGCTAAGGGAGCTGGGCATGTTTAGCCTGGAGAAGAGGAGGTTAAGGGGTGATATGATAGCCATGTTCAAATATATAAAAGGATGTCACATAGAGGAGGGAGAAAGGTTGTTTTCTGCTGCTCCAGAGAAGCGGACACGGAGCAATGGATCCAAACTACAAGAAAGAAGATTCCACCTAAACATCAGGAAGAACTTCCTGACAGTAAGAGCTGTTCGGCAGTGGAATTTGCTGCCAAGGAGTGTGGTGGAGTCTCCTTCTTTGGAGGTCTTTAAGCAGAGGCTTGACAACCATATGTCAGGAGTGCTCTGATGGTGTTTCCTGCTTGGCAGGGGGTTGGACTCGATGGCCCTTGTGGTCTCTTCCAACTCTATGATTCTATGATTCTATTCTAAGTTTACTGGGATTTTCCCTGTTCAGGAAAGCAAATGGGGCTCGGCACACATTTTAGAGCTACTGGTTCATGGCTGTGTCCCTTTAATTCAGACATGCACCCTGAGTGATAGCCAGTTAACTCATACTCAGAGTATATTCACTGAAATCAATGGACTTAAGTAACTTAATGTACTCTGAGTATGCCCAGTATGGGATTTCACCCCACTGAATCTAACCAAAATTCACTAGTTATGTCATGAAATACACAAAAATTTCATTAGTGAACAGCTATCAATCATTTTGTCTCCAGACAGAATGTATTGAAACAATCAGAGTGATGTAGCTTATATTTTATCATTTCATTTCATCCTCTTTTCCTCCCCGTTTTTGTGCTGTTAAACAATAATTTGCAATTACACTATTTGCAACTAATATATGCTGCCATGCGAGAAGTCATTTGTTGCATGGTATAAGCAATTAACATTTGTTCACTTCGTCTGTTACAAGAGGATGTGTAATTTGTCCACTGTGCCCTTTTTGTGCACCTAATTAAAGCCATTTTGAAATACTCTCCAGGTAATGAAGATTGAATTTGGTACTGCGAGGGGCAGGAACCGGTTTCTAATGTATTATAATTTTTTTTTGCAATTGTACTCTTGGTAAAATGTTTCCCAGCTAGAATCCTGTTCCCACTTGCAGGCTTTGAAATGGTCTGTGTTGGATATCTCTCGTTCAACAAGAAGTCCAGAATACCTCATTTGCATTGTAATGTGATTGTGCTCTATCTTTCAAATGTTCCTGTATGAAGAACTGAACAATTTCTCTGCTCACTGAGGCAGAAAGGGTGATGGTGTCAAAGCATCGAGGATTTCCTGCTGAGCCTGTGAAAACTGGGCCACACTGTTTTAAAAACCATTTGAATTGAATTTAAAAGTCTGTATATATCTTACATATAAAGATGTTCCTGTGCACAGCCTTAACTGACGTCAACATCATAATCTCTGCTGATAGATATTAGATCTGAATACAGCTAACAAACAATATCTGTATTGCTTGTGTTCTGAACATTTCACCCAAAACCCAGTTTCAAGTATAAGTTCACCAATGTGCTCCACTGCCTTTTGGGAAGAGATCAACATATATGGCGTAAGACCAGAAACCTCCAGGCTAAGCAATTGTAATCTCATACTCTGGAAGTAATTCTGGAAGAAAGGTACATCCCGTTTTTTTCAAGATAACAGCGATCTTTTGTTGCCATGATCTTGCAGAACTTTGAGGCGCCGTGCCCAAAAAGTAATAGTTTGGGGGTGGAAACTGCCAGCCATGCTCTCATGATAAAAAAACGGGAATGTTAGCATCCTGTATTTGGGCTTTAAGTTCTGGAAGGTATGCTCTTCTCATCTTGAGGGCTTGGGGTTAACGCACTGTTACTGCTATACTTCTTTCCTGAGTGCCTCATGTGACTACAGAGAATCCATGTTACAGCCAGTTGGGGGACTGCCCACACCTTTGCTGGGCATCTCAAGATCTCCCATGGAACAAACCTGCTAACTGGAGGAGGGTCAGATGTGATGGAATACACCCAAAACTACACAAATGTTACAGGCTGATGACTCCTCTCTCCTCCTCGTGGTTTTTAAAATTCATTTGCAAGAACCAAGCTGAAAGGGCGGTTCTCTACAGGAAATTCGTATCACGCACATACATTGCTCTTTTGCTGGGTTAATACGAAACTCCTCACCAACATTTGACTTGGTTTTCTTTTTTTTATGTAAATGCCTGTGAACATCTATGTAGGATCTGCAGCATTAAGTATAGCTCTTTCGTAATCATTTCCTATGCTGGCCTTGGCCTTAGCATCCTTTCCTTTCAGGTGGGATTTCCTTCTGGATTTAAGTCCATCATACTTAGTCCTACTTTACAATTTAGGACTATCGCCTTTCCCATATTGCAAGTTCAAAATTTGACCTGCATGAAGCCCACACACAGCACTCTTCCATACCATCTGGGTATCGTGGATTTATTTTGGTCCTGGTTGTCACACACTAAACGGTGAGTTTTCAATGCTTCTTCTAAAGAGCTTCTCCTTGTTACTTTTGTACCAGTTTGGATTGTGAG